CCCCTGGGCAAAAAAAAAGGAACACCCCCCCCCCCCCACACACCTTGTACAATGCAAACCTGTCTAGAAAACCAAAGAAGCAACGAAATGTAGAAAACGTATTAATTTTTGAAGGATCACACAGTGCAAAGTGCAAAAAAGAGATGAGTTTCTCATAACCCTGTAATACGTCCATCCCATGCCATCTCACATTGAAGTCATCACATGACTACCACATTCTACACACTCCGTCCAATGCATTCCCGGAGTCATTCAGCCAGACAAAGCACAGGAATGACCCGACACAAGAGTTGCCATGGAGACAGTACTTATGAAGTTTTGTGTTACAATTCAGACTTAGTTAACATTCATGTGCTGGCTCTGGGCAATCTTTGAAAGGCCACAGAAAGAAAAGCACCACAGGAGCCTTCATTTTGAAGACATTTAATATGCTGATGAAATTCTTTTAAATGGCAAAAAGTATCAAACAATATCAAGGACTGCTGTAATAAAATATAACAGAAATAATGTGTTGTGAGATGTAAGTTTTGTCTTTGTTTAATAATGATTGTAGTTAAAACATTTTTGTAGAAACTTATAGCCTCGCATTACCATTAGACAGACATAATCTGCCTTTTTACTACAGAATAATCAAACCTCCAACCAATTTGCTGTTCACTGGCTTGTAAATCCACCTTTCAGCACATCATGGGACATTTTTACATTATTACGTATTTTCCTATCAGCAGCAAGATACACTATTGCCAAAAGTATTGGGTCAATTCCTTGGATTCAGGTGTTCCGTGAAATACTGTAAATACGGTCAACTGTAAGTGGTATTATAATTATAACAAAGTGGAAGCAACTGGGAACATCAGCAACTCAGCCACAAAGTGTTAGGCCACGTAAAATGATAGAGCGGGTTCAGCGCATGCTGAAGCGCACAGTGCGCAGAAGTCGCCAACTGTCTGCAGAGTCAATAGCTACAGACCCTCAAACTTCATGTGGCCTTCAGATTGGCACAACAGTGCATAGAGAGCTTCATGGAATGGGTTTCCATGGCTGAGCAGCTGCATCTAAGCCTTACATCACCAAGTGCAATGCAAAGCGTTGGATACAGTGGTGTAAAGCACGCCGCCACTGGACTCTAGAGAAGTGGGAGACGTGTTTTCTAGAGTGACGAATCACGCTTCTCTGTCTGGCAATCCGATGGACGTGTCTGGGTTTGGCGGTTTTCAGGAGAACAGTACTTGCCTGACTGCTTTGTGCCAAGTGTAAAGTTTGGTTGAGGGGGGATTATGGTGTGGGGTTGTTTTACTGGGGTTGGGCTTGGCCCCTTAGTTCCAGTAAGGCATCAGCATACCAAGACATTTTGGACAATTTCATGCTCCCAACTTTGTGGGAACAGTTTGGGGATGGCCCCTTCCTGTTCCAACATGACTGCGCACCAGTGAACAAAGCAAGGTCCATAAAGACATGGATGAGCGAATTTGGGGTGGAGGAACTTGACTGGCCTGCACAGAGTCCTGACCTCAACCTGATAGAACCTCTTTGGGATGAATTAGAGCGGAGACTGCAAGCCAGGCCTTCCCGTCCAACATCAGTACCTGACCTCACAAATGGGCTTCTGGAAGAATGGTCAAACATTCCCATAGACACACTCCTAAACCTTGTGGACAACCTTCCCAGAAGAGTTGAAGCTGTTATAGCTGCAAAGGGTGGGCCAACTCAATATTGAACGGACTAAGACTGGGATGCCATTAAAGTTCATGTATGTGTAAAGGCAAGCGTCCCAATACTTTTGGCAATATAGTGTACTTTTACTTCATAAGCAGTTCTAAAAAGAAAAAAATTGACTTTTCCTTGCCCACTATACAAAACTACTGTCCCGCTTAAAGTGGAACTCAAGCCAAAAATAGTCTTTAGTTTTGGTTTGCGAAAAGGGAAAAAATGGTGGGTTAGATGCAAGAAGTGAGGATAAATCTGTCCAGCAGGATCATAAGAGCAATACATGTTTTTGTTGTTGTTTGCTGTAAGGCTAGCTCCCCCCAACCCCCCCTCATTTATTGCTTTCTGTCTTGCACTTTTAGATTTCTATTGCTTTCTGCCCTAGGTATAAGTTTGAAACCATCACAGTAAATGATCAGAAATTTCCCCAAAAGCGCCACAGACAGCAATACAAAGGCCGTCATACTCCTATGATACCTATAGGAATTAACTGAGTAAATGTAATTATTTATCTGCAATTTCTATTTGTTTCACCTCTTTGCAGTAGGTGACTTTCTAACATAGGCATTTCTCTTCCTGAGCCAACAATGAGGGTCTGATGGTTGACATACATTGCTCAGATGCAACGCATACCTTTAATTCACACAAGACAGCTGCAAGATGTTAAAAGGTATTACAACGAGTGGATGAACATACTGCCATCATCCTATATGTGAAGATTTTCTATTTCCAGGTATACACATAGACATGCACATTTAGATTGCCCAAGTATGCATGAAGCAGGAGATATGGGTGGGACCAGACATCTTTGGCACTGGCATCTCGTTGGGTAACAACACTGGTAATTGACAGTAATTATCCATCAAGGCCTGTAGCTATATTCGGTCAGCCACGTGTGGCAGGTGCCCATCAGCTCAATCAGACAGTCTGTCAGGGCCCAATATTCTGGTCTCCAAATACAGGAGATGTGGTTACTGACTAAGCAGCTGTAAGACTGTATGCAATCTTATTAAAAAGGCAAGCAAAGATATTCTGGGAAATGTTATGGTTTAAAAGGGCCAGGAATTTTCTGTGGTCAAATTATTTGTAATGCCAATCACTATTTAATTGGATCAACATTTTATTGACAAGCAACCAAAACCCGATGATAAAGTAATAGATTTGGTAGTAAAATCAACACATGAGGCCTTAGTGGTTAAAAGAATTAATCTAATGTACAATATTTTATACAAAAAAGAAAAACAAAGTACAGAGATCATAGGAACATCTGTATGATTATGAGCCAGCGGGCTGAGAACATCCTGTCTACCCGCTGTGCATTGTATAGAGCCCAATAATATTTCCCTCACAAGAATGTCCTCCTGTTCACCACCCTGCAAGAAGTAGACCACCCACTTAGGAAAGCTGGTGAAAATAGCAGGCAGACCCAGGGAGGGAAAACCTTTTGGGGTTTCTCACAATACTAGGCTGTGATAACAAGAAAACATGACAATAAACAGCAGATTTGAATTTACTATAAAGAAATAATGCTACACCCCAGAGCACTGCTTACATGACGTGGCAAAATGTTACAATGCTGGTGCCAGTCACATTTATTGCCATGTTTTCTTAATATATTACACGTTGGTAACATTTCTGCACAGGACTTTCCTTTGTATAAACTTTCACCAAGAACAAGAGTTCACAGAAATGTGAAAGTGTATTGAAACCCAAGAATAGAAATTAAAAACATTGCTGCTTGCCAGTCCTTAGATATCCTGCATTAGTTTGTTTATTTCAGGTTTTGTTTCCTTGTGTCTTCACAAGGTGATCCTGCCAGTAACCTCCCTTCTGTCCTGGGGTGGCATCATTCACTGTACTGTATCTATAGTAGGACAGCGTTGTCACCATAAGACAGGAAGTGTGTTAGAGCTACAGGACACCTCCCCTCAACTTCTCCCCATATTTGGGGATATGTTCTGTAGTTCAGAGAGAGAACTGGGCAGGGCTGATAACACTGCTTGTGATATCACTGCAGAGTGCACAGGACAGCACTGGATTTCTGACAGATCAACAGGTATTTTCTTGCACTTATTAAACAGATATAACGATTCAGTCTCAAACGGTATATTTAACAGGCCAAAGGAAATAAACAGAAATTTACATTCACTTTAACCCATGACATTTAACTAGCAATTCTTTTAAACACTTCTGAAGAACAAATATAAAAACCGTAAATGTGCTGTTAATTTACTGCAGATGACAGCTATCTGGGCCCTACTTTACCTATGATCCACATCTACTGAGAATTGACAGCATTTCAGGTTTTGGTCCACTAGCCAAACCGACCAAAGCCTGAGCAAACCGCACTTCTTTTAACTTGTGGAATAAAAGTGACTTCATATAGAAAGTGACTTGATATAGAATCTCTGGTGGGTCTGCTACTTCTATAACTGTTACCGAAAAATACTTATGGTCAATATGTTTCAAAACAAAGCAAAAAAGCTATAGGTCTTAGATGATCCTTACCTGTTGTTGCTTTACACATTGGAGGCATCCTTGTTACCCTGCTATGTGCAACATAGGTGCTTTGAGATGTGCTATATTGAGAGCCACTGTCTGAAGAGTTGGAACTAGTATGTGAAAGTCTATTGTGCTCCTTATGAGATGAGGCGGACCTGTGGAACCACTGCCGCAACTCATCAGACACCACAGTTCTTCCTGAGCCCTTCTCATGGCCTTCTCTCCCAAGTGACGGAGTCCTTACAATCTGAGAACGAGAGGGTGTCAGCCTCACAGAGTCCACAGTGTCATCCCCATGCCAGTTCTCTTTATACATCCCTCCTGCAGTGTAAGAGTTTGATGTTTTGAATTGTGCTTTGACGCTGTAATGTCCCTCTTGATCATTTTCTAAACTCCGCACAACCACTGAAGGGGAGCTTCCTTCAATGTATAAAGGATACTCTTTGATCCTGTATTGTGATGAAGGTTGGCTCTGACTATGCAAATATACACCATGGTGTCCAGTTCCATTCCTAGCAGCCAGGTTGGGCATGCTCCCTGAATTGGAGGATACAAGGTTCCCGTTAGACTTGTGTCTGTGTCTCTGACGTTCCCTGGCTTTGGAAGGAGAGTCCTCAGCCAATGTTGAATAATTAGGATTCATCTGAGCTGGGTAATAGTGTTCAGAACTGGAATGGCTAGTACAAGAGGAACAATCATCCATAGGGTCAGAGCCATTACTGCTACGAGTCCTTGGAGTGTAGAAGTCAGGACTCCCAGTTTCATTTTCAGAGCCCAGCAGTTTTCCTTGTGACTCCAAACTGGAACTGCGGTGCCTAAAGTGCTGTGCTAAGCTGTGGAGTCTAGTTGGACTGATATCCACCGATCTGTAAAATTAGGCAATTATTATTAACAATTAGAAAACAGTATAGTTTCGTAAAACAAGTTTGGAAGTACATATAAAATATTCCACTCATATTACGGTGGCTGTACACACAACAATGTTGCTTCGGTGTCTATGACACACCAAAGTTGACATACTGTATATAGTTAAAAAAGAATTTGCTAGAAAATATTTTTTAAACATTTGCATTTTATCTACAGAACAATATGATTGGCATTTCCTCAAATAAAATTTGAGATAGAATAATTTTTTGGGCAATATATTTTACCTGGTTGAATGGACATAATGAGGACTTCGCAATCGCAGATCTGGTGTTGATGGCATGCTAGATTGGGAGTTCCAGTGAGGGAGAGTCCGGATGGGACTATTTTGTAGAGAGTTACTCACGCCAGCTTCTGAGCAGCTGCTTGTACTGGGGAACCGTTTATGGTTACTGAAATGGAGAAAAAACAAATTACAAGAGGAAATGGTAACCGTATAAGTACCATTATGAGTTAAAACGGAAGGGACCCATGGGTACTTTTTCACATTCTTCTAATAATATAGATTTATTTTTTACAGATATGCACAACAACCTGCACAGACCCAATGAACATGTAGCCGTGGGCATAAAGAATTACTTTTTATCTTCTCGGTACAAAGAATCCTTGCTTCTATGGTTATCAGTTCTGTTCTGTTGCAAAGCAAATGAAAAAGAAAATACTGCCATATGGGGAAGGATGTCTTTAAACAATAAAGAGAGCATATTTAGCATGAATTGGTGCTATTAAAATATCCTAGGGGCCCCAGGTACTAAATCATATTTGCTAATACTATAGTAACAATTACAAGAGTATAGCTATCTAGTAGATGGGAACAAAGTCTGAGTTCAGTATCTGGTATTTATGAAGTGTACAGCAGTGTAGTGGTACACAAGTGTAGTATTCTGTTACTAGACAAGTAGATACCTGGAATGGCTATGTGTTGACCGTTTCTTCAATTTTTCATACGGTTGATCTAAAGAAGATTCACTCCACATTTTGGGTTTTATTGGTGACTTGTCATAGTCATTTCGCTGGAAGTGCAACTGCCTCAGTCCATCCAATGATTGAGGCGGGTGAGGTCTGGCATGGGAGGGGGGCCTTGGTGGCAGGCCTTTATGAGGGGACTGCATAGGAGACAGGATGCTAGGCGCCTGTGAATCATCTGGTAATACAAAAAAAAAAAATAACAAAACGGAATTACAAATTAGAATATTATAAAACAGTTCACATTACGTTGGACTATAAACAGAAATATTAGTGCCAAATGTCATGAAAATCCAAAGGCTAAAAACACATACAATTGGGTGAAATAGTTAAAAAAAATTCTTAGAACCCAAAAAAGAAAAAAATATTTAAAATGCGTGATATCATTTTTTCTTTCTTTTTAATGTACAGTTACAACAGGAAGTAGATCTATCTACGGACTAATGATGATGGGGTCTTACTCTGCATATAGCCATGGCATAATTGAGCTTCGTTTTTAGGTGAAGAAGCAGTAAACCAAAATTAGATCAACTGGTCACAAAAAAAGTTTAGGGCACATAAGCTTAACATGTAAGACTGTGAGCGAAAAGCAAATGCTTAATCAAAATGTCATTGTACAATGCATACCATCTTCTAGTACCAGTGCATCCGAAAGTGAGCTGTCTTCACTGCCCAGGTTTGCTTCTGTGAATAAAGAAGCGCGAAGTGTAAGGACATGTACAGTTATACTGCATTTTACCTGCTACATACACAAGGTAGACTGGGAAAGGTACATTTGTATATTTCTACTATTTATACATGCCCATAAGCCTCGTGTCAAGGATTAATTATGTGTTCTGTAACCTAAGCATTACACTGATTATTTTTTATTTATGGTTATGAGTAAAAGCAAAACAAAACTCACTTTATTATAGAGCACTAGAAATAGAGAAACAAAACATATATCTCTGAGCACTCACCATCTATGATTAAAGATGCTCTCTGCGTAGGCTTTTTGCCAGACTTGATGCGGTGATCATTAATGGAGTTCTCAATTTCCTGTAGTTTCTTCAGAGCATTGAGGTATGAGGTTTTTCTCTGCTTCTTCAGCTTTTTACTTACATGAAGGTCACTGGCTAAGCGCCGAGCTGCCTCTGTAATCTGTGACTGAATGGCAAATTCTCTCTCGAGGCGTTCCAGCTCCTCTTCCTGGAAGAATATTCCAGATTTTAGTTAATGCGCAGCCCACATACAGTGAATTGACAACTGAACTAAGCTTACAACAAAACTGACTGAAGCCACTTTATTAGTGTAACAAGAGGAAAAGCAGTTTAACAACTTTGTTATTTGTAAAATCCCTGTGCCTTGTTAATTCATTTAGTGAAAGTACCACCCAGTAGCTGAGCTCTAAAGTATTCTTGGACTGTATGGATGATGATGATGCATCCCTCCAAATTTTGTTTAACCACAACTCTGTCATGACTTACTAATGGTTTCCTTCATCTCCTTACTGAAATAGGGCTAAAAGCTCTTTTAATTTCAGGTTATGTTCAAAGTGCTGAACACACAGATCTTCAATACCTTAAGCTGTTCTTTTACTCCTTAAACCCTTTATGAGCACAAATATAATAAGCTAGGGTAACAACAAGTAGTTTAATCATCATACATAAATCAGGCTCACCCTTACAGAACACTACAGCTAATAGATAAAGTCTAACAAAACCTATATTGCACACTGGTGGTTTGAGTTGCCTAGTGGAATCCTAACTTTTCAGACACCGAAGGTGAGAACTTTGAGCCTGATATCACAGCTCCAAACACTTACAGTGGCCATTATGATGGGCTACATTCCCACCAGCTGGATTTCTCTACGTCTATTTACTTTACATTACAAATAATATAGCTGGAGAAGGAACTCTATCTTTGTATATCTTTGTAAAGAAAGTCGGTTTTAGAATATAGATGAGGCAGCTGTATTCCCCATCATTTTCCATGTTTTATGTGCAAAGAAAGCACTGAAACAAATGCACCTCTTCAATAACTTCAATTTTTTCTTTATAAATAATAGGATTAGGAATAGGATTGTTTTGGAGTATGGATACTTGTCAGAATGTGCAACTCTTTAAAGTGCTGCATAAATTGCCGGCGCTATATAAATACCTGTAATAAATACATAACTGAAGACATCTGTGAGTGAACAGAGGGATCAAACCTAAAAGTAGTAATGCAGATTTGGACAATGCTTTAGGCTTTCCAATTAATATGCAGGTCATCTGTGCAGAGCCACAAGATTTCTTGTTAAAACCTCACTACATGTACGTAGTGTTATCAAGACATTAGACTTTGAACAGATAATTAGTTCATTCCAATTAGCTAATTGAATTTGTGAAAATTATTCATGTGTAATTTTTTCAAAATATCAGCACATTTTTACAATCTATAAGAGATAAACAATGCACTTTTAGATGTTAAACTTTTTAAATTGCTTCTACAATCAACAAAAAGTGTGTGAGAATGTTGATTAAACATGGCTGTCAGCACATTACTTGCACATATGACATGACTAAACCTGATTAATTGGTAGAAGATGCAGGAAACCAAACAATGTCAGAGATGTCTGGAGGCTCATAAGCCACCCTAGACAATGCACATTTGGCATATCCCTGTCCTAAGAGCTGCTTAAGCTGTTTTTACAGCCATGGTTCAGTGCTCTGACCAAGAGAGGGGTGGAGGAATGAGAGAGCAGTGCTTACTTAAATATGACAAACAAGCACAACTCCAAGCCATAGCATTAGTATGTTCTTAATCAGACATCTCTTTTATGTTTATTCAGCTTTGATTCTGTGATAACAAAAGCAAAGTCTAGAGCTTCTGTTCTGAATCAGAGTCAGTTATTGATCCAGCATTACTTCCCACTGACTCATCTCTCAGAACATGGAGGAAAATCTGACCTAGTGAAAGACATTTTTCTCCTTAAGATAACAGTGTCGCTGTATCTAGTAATATGAGACCCTCACAGCTGTGGTAGTGCATACCATAGCCTGGCACTGGGTGTCACAGATTTAATGTAAAACACACCCACGACATGGATAAATATACACTGTGCAAGACATTCCCAAGCTGCAGAAAGTCTCATCCTTTTATTGTTACATATACTTAAATCTTTAAATAAATTATGATTGTTATAGTGGCCTTCATCTATAATCTGAAATGAGCATTCAAAAATGATATCAATAAAAGAGTGCATAACATCACAGAACATTGTTAAATGGAAACATGTACTAAGAAAGGTACATGCTGCCGCGCTGTCATGCTGATCCAATACCCATTCTGAGAAACAGACAAAGAACATGTATATAGATCAGTTCTGACTACACTCTGACTATCTAATTCAATATTGTTCCAGATAAGTGACTCAGAAAGGCAGCCAGGCAGCCCTCATACTTTAATCATCTCTAAAATATATATATATATAATATACAGTATCTGGACTTCATACACCGAGTCAGTAAATACATTTTGACAAGTCTGGCTGTTATGTTTGTATATACATGTAAATATTTCCAAAAGTAAACAACACTTGACACTCTTATGTAGTGAGACAATGCAAAGAGTAACAATGACATGCTAATCCATGCAACTACACTTTAATTAACTGATGTGAAAAAAAATCAAGGGAGGAACTTTGATTGGTTGCTATAGTTATTTAATAAGCTCATGTGACCCTCTGTTAAATTTAGAAAAGTGTAGTAACCTGCCTTTCATAGTTCTCCCCAGTGATCAAAAATCTAATCTGACTACTCGCCCTGGGTACTTGCTAAATTATCTTACTAGGTCATTGTGCAAGTGTTAACCTTCTAGTGACAGGAGCACCATTTAACCCCTTCATGACTGAGGCCCTTTTTTAAATTTTTGCACCCATGTTATATTCCACATTTTAGGCCTGAAAATGACGTAAAACCCCCCAACATTATATATTTTCTGAATGCCAAGACCCTATAGAATAAAATGGTGGTAGTTGAAAATTTTTATAATTTCTCTAACACACATTACATGCCAGATTTTATTACCGTGTAAGTAAAATACAGCAGTTAAACTCAAAAGTTCCAGTATTTTGTATAATTCCGTCACAGCTGCACAGGCTTCATATAGCTCGCTCACCTCTCCTTTTCCAAGCAGTTTATCTTCATCCAATTTAAATGATGTTCCGATCCGCCTTCGAACAATAGGCGGCTCCTCTCCCGGATCTAATGGATATTCTCTTGGCAGTTTGCCTGTAAGTTCCTGCAAACACAATAACAAGCCTTTACTTAGTCAGCTATTTTGTCATACTACCATGCGGTTATTTAAAGTAATAAATAATGCTGACTGCCCTAGTTAAGCTTATTTAGCAAATGTTTTAAATAGTTCAAATTCTACATAGAAACAAAGTATTTTGTAAAACGTTATTTTTGCATATAAAACGGTACAAGAACTTATAGAGGGATCTATCTATACAGAGTTTGTGCATGTTCTCTCCTTTTGTGTGGGTTTTTACCAGGTGTCCTGCTGTCCTCCTACAATTGCCAGAACACATTGTAAGGTTAAATGGCCTACCTAAATTGGAGCTAAAATGTGAACGTGTTTACATAAGTATGGTATCAGAAGGGAGATTTCTTTTGCCATATCTGATCTTTTTAATAGGCCATTAAAGAAATATGTAGTGTGCCATTTCTGATCTTTCCTTTTGAAGTGGTAATTGCTTGGCTGTCATACTGATGCATTGGCGTGAGCCACTGACCTGGAACAAGAAGAGATACAGCCATGCTACCAGCATTTTAAGAAAAAGGGCAGCAATACCTCGCAAAAAATAAATTCTGCTCAGCCAGTTTTCTAATCCAGAAACTCCTGCCAGGTATTATATAAAGCCCTGACCATTTACTATTTAGGACTGCTGTTAAAGTAGTACAGCCTGATGAAGACTGTGATCGAACAGTAAAGAAACAGTAGCTTACGGATCAGGTCATTTCTATGATTTCTTATCCAACCAGCAATCTCTGTTTGTTAAATATACAAAACTGTGCTGCACCAGTGAAGCCTGACAGTACTCACAGTGCTACCGCTTCCTCTCCTAGTCAATATTCTAATATGCTGGGATTACAGGAGGCTAGTATAACAGTGAAGAGCACTCCAACATAAACTCCTAGGTTCTACCAAAAACAGCTTTCCCATTATTCATTTTAGATATCTAAAAATAAAGGTGTGCTGGAGATTAATATATTGATGTCAGTATTTTTCATACTACAAAAAAATCCCTAGGGAAAGACCTCTTCCTTTTTCCAGAAATATCTTCCTTATTAAAATATTTACCTGATGGAGCTGGCAAGGTTGGTGCATTACAATGTATTGTTTTAGTAGCATAGGAGAAGGACAGTAGTATATGCACAGACCGCACTATCCAGAGAATTCCAATACTTCAGACTTTATTGAAATTCACAGCAAATCCAGTATAACTGTGAATAAAAGTGTATAAAGCAGCAAATACCAGCACCGCAAACCGGTGCTGATATTTGCTGCTTTATACACTTTTATTCACTGTTATTCTGGATTTGCTGTGAATTTCAATAAAGTCTGAAGTATTGGAATTCTCTGGATAGTGCAGTCTGTTCGTATACTACTACATTCCAAGGTGGAGACGCACCTATTAGACCAGCACCTGGGGAGTCCTGATAGCGGCTAAGGAATTGGAGCGGTGAGATTTCCTTTGGCTCTACATAGAAGAAGGGCAGTTCACCACCTTATGTAAAGTTTGCATATTGTTTGCAGTTTCCATTTCCAGTTGTGCACATTCAAAAACTATTAGCAACAGAATATTGTAAAGTTTGACATAGCAGTCCTACTCAGTAAGCAAAATTATTATTTTTGTCATGGCTTTGTCACTCTTCATTGACTGCCTGTGTTCAGCTTTCCTCCTACAACTTAATCCTTGCTTCTAAAGACCTCCTCACAGGAAATTATTGTGATTCCTCGGATTCCTTGCAGGAAAAAAATGTGATTGCAAAAGATTTTCACAGTTTAGCAAACACTGAGCAATTAAGTACTGCCAATTCTACTGAGGATTTGCCACACCTCTGCTCTGGAACAGATTTCTACCGAGAATATAGTGAAAATGACAAGCTATCAGATTGCTAGCAAGGCTTGCCCAATCTGTTACCATCTCTGATTGGTCTCTATATATATAGGTACATTACTTTACAAGATCACTTAAATTGTTCATATTATGTGACTTTTTCTTCTTAAATATGGTTTTTTTTTTGGTTGCCCTGAGGTGCTCACCAAATACACAAGGAATACTGCACAATGTTTTCTAAAAGCTAGGTGTGAGGTATTCCTACCAGTCAAGAGATCTTATGTTTTGGCACTTTTATACTGTAAATAGATTCAGCAGCAGCATGCTGAATATGTAGGACAGTTGCTGGTGTGCGACATGTGAGTCATTTTTAAATTACATTTATTTACACATATTTTATGCCCAAATGCCTGAAATGTTCATATTCACACTGTCTAGAAAGCAGGAAGAAATGCCCTATCTTTACCGCTTCACGTAGACAAAGTTTCTTCAGCTCCTCTAGCCGCTGGCGTAGTGTCTCCTCCAGAGCTTCCTGCCTGGATTTCAGAGCAGCCAGCATGTCTTTCTTGGCAGACTGTGAGCTGTCCGACTCTTGGGAACCTGTCAACAAACAAACGATTACACTATAGCCAGCTGACAACAGCCTGTACATCTGGAGCCTCCATACAACAATTTCATTGAGAAACCTGCAGCCTTCCATATGTAACAGCATGTAACATAACATAGCTGACATGATCTTCATTACATGATTATATGCTCATTTCCAATTGATTAACACACAGCACCTGGTTACTTATCCATGACATGTTTAACACCAATTATTTACTACTAGGATTCAAAACCAGTCAGTTATGAAAATTAAGGACAGAGAAATTATGTTATATGGATCACACCCTAACAGAGTTATTCAGAAAAAGGTGAAGAGTTTGGAGAAGTGAGCAATCTAGGACAAAATAGCTGATTTGGAAAAATTCTCCAATTCAGTTCACTTTCCAAATCAGCTATGTTGTCCTAGATTATTCACTTCTCCTGCCTTCTCCAAACTCTTCACTCTTTTGTGAATAACCCTGCAAATGTCACTTTCTTTTTGGGCCATTCAAGTACGATTTGGTAATTACAATGCCCCATATTATAGTTCAGGCTTTCTCAACCAGGGTTCTATGGAATCGTAGGGTTCCTTGAGAAATGAGTAATTTCTGCCTCTGAGATAATTTTCACAGTCTAAATTTTTTTCCCCCTGAACATTATTTGTTTCATTTTATTATTATTTCTAAAAACAATGTTGCTATTTCAAAAAACCCTGGGTGTCAAATACATATTCTGCGTGGTACATCGGAGGTACCGAGCAGAATAGAAAAGAAGTTAAAAGAAGGAGAAAAAAAAAAAATAAAACCGTTGCCAAATTATTTTAAGAAAGAAAACAAATAGGAAATAAAAAAAAAGAAAATAAAAATATTTAAAAAAAGAAAAATAGTTTAAAAAACAACAACAATTGGGCGGAGCAGTGACAGCTGGATCACGGCTGGCTCCGCCAAGCTGTCATTTGTGGGGCGAACGGCCGGCCTTCGGCAGGCCTTTCGCCCCCCCCTTCGGCTGTCACTTTGGCTTAGTCGAGCCGAAGCATATGCCTTCGGCGCGGCTGAGCTGCTCGGCCGCCTTCGGCTGCTGTACGGGCTATTGTGAAGGAGGCGGACAAAGCAGGGAGTTAAATGTAGAAAAGAGTTAATGGGGACTGGATGAAAGGGAGTGTGATGAAATAGGTCTGTTTGGTTTTGTGGAGGCAAGTAATGTATTTTTGGAGGACGGATTTATATAGGGTGAAGTCTAGCAGGGATTTGGATTTACACCATAGTCGCTCAAGAGCACGACTATGTCTTCTAAGTCTTTTAGTGTCATCTGTCTGCCAAGGCTGTAGTGGACGGGGCCTGATTCTGTGAGTGGTGACTGGGGCAAGTGTATCCATACAGGAGGAGAGTGAGCTATTGTAGAGAGAAGTGGCAAGGTCAAGGCAGGAAAGGGGATGTTGTCATAAAGGTGGTCTGAGGCAGAGTAAAGAAGAGAAGGGTTAAAGTGGCAAAGGTTTCTATAAAATCAGGATAAAACAATCTCAGCATGCACATATTTCTTGTTTGTGTAAATGCAGCTTAAAAAACCATTACACGCTTCCAGATGCATGTTTAAAGCATTGCACATTACTAGTTTGTAAAATGCAAGATATATATGGGAGTGTGCGTGCGTGTGTGTGTGTATCCTGATGGGATATTGTAACCCTCTAACATGCAGATTTCAGTTTTGTGGCCATAAGACTCTAGTTGCATCAAATCTGGTTGCTGTGGGTAAATATGCTTTGCACAGTCATTACACTGCCTTATTAAAGAAGTCTGTATATGTTATGAAACATGTTGAAATGATCAAACAAAAATATAGAGCACCAGCTGTGTGCATCTCTTCACAGCAGGCCTTTACATGTCCATCAATATGGATACCGGCCTTCAGAGTAACCACACTAAAGCATTAGATGAATATAACACTTTTTCTACTGAAATGGTATACTGAAAGGTCATGACAAAGTGCCCATGCTTACTTCATATTAACTGAACTGGGATCATGTTGTAATGTGCAAAAGCCACAGGCAATAGGAGCAGCCCGTTCACTTTCATTACTCCTGCCCACGCCTGTTTTATTACAATTAGAAACCCCTATCACTTTATCTGATCACGTCTATCTGTTTATTAAGGTGCTCATACACCTTACAATTTATCTGCAGATTTTCTGTGGTCAGATGGAAAAAGTGCAACAGATTGGCCCAGGTGGAGATTATTCCATCCACACAGTTAAGTGTAGATGGCGGAATCTGTTGCACCTTTTCTATCTGACCACAGAAAATCTGCAGATAATTGTAAGGTGTGTGGGCTGCTTTATACAGACAAAAACATGAGCCACTATGGAGGGCAAGTGAGAGGCTTTAATGATTTAAGGATCGTTGTTGATATGTCAATATAATCTAATTTTCATAATATACAGTATTTTAAAATTACTACATATATTATGGACGGGAAAATATCTACACATTCATCCTGAGACCAATTTCCTAGTTTAAAAATCTATGGTCAGAATGCCTATATGTTAGACATGTGCGCTGGACAAAAACTTGTTTAGTTTTCATTCGGATTTTTCGTTATTTAATTTTTTCTGGATCCGAAAGTCAATTTGTTTTGGGATTCGACGAAATCCGAATTTTCGTTAGAAGTAGTAGTATTCGTTGCAGACGAACATTCTTGTTCATTATGAAAATTCATACATACTACCGCTAACGAAAATTCTGATTTTTTTTCTTACAGTTCATGCTTAACACAATAAAAGTTCATTCGGGAAAGAAATTCGGATGCATCTGAAATTTTTGTTATCGGAAATTCCTATTAGTTTTCATTCGTTACATTCTGTAATTCGGGTGCATTTGAATGTACGAATTTCCGAAAATTTGCCCGAATAACTAATCTTTCTGAAACAAATCAAACATGTCTACTATATGTAGAGACACCAAGATTTGCTACGTCCACATATACTGATCTATTCCTTTAACTGGACATCTCTTGCTACCCTCATAGAATCAATCTTCTATATAGCTGAAGTACAATAGTACTACACAACATTGGAGATTCACCACACATTTGAAACTTTTGGTAAAAGCTCCTTACATTAAAGGAATGTGAACATGTTTCCTGCACAACTGCACAACACAGTGTTGGTTCTCACTGGTACACAACCTTCTAGATCACCTGGTCTTCTGCCAAGCCATCCAGACATCTGTTAAATCCACACCACCGTATCATTGCTAACAGATAGCCAAGTGCTACAACTACAGCTGGTGCCAGAATGAGCTATTTATTGCTTAGTAATCTATCACCAGTGGAGGTTTGGACAAACTGAGTGGAGACATTGCACTGTAGAGATTATCTTCACAAGATGAAGAAAGCAAGAACAGTGAGTCTATTTCATCAGTTTACATTGATTGTGATGCTTTGCAGGGAACTTTCATAACTGCCCCTTCATCACCTCAAAAGGATGACAAAAAAGTCCCAACAGTCATAACAGGATAGAGTAATTAAAGAATACACATAAAATTCAGCAGCATGTTATCTCCATGGTAAAATGATAGCATATCTGAATACATTCCAAAAAGGTCAAACATAGACAGTAAATGGCATAGATCTGGGAAAGACAATGGTAAGTAGGAAAAATAAAGCTGGACAGAGTTATTCTTTATATGTCTGATACTTTTAAGTACACACATGGGCTTCAAACCTGGGGCTCACACATACATTGGCTTCAAACCTGGGGACCTTAAATATGCAGGCTTCAAACCTGGGGCCTTCACTTGTATAAAGTATCTTAACGCTTCTTGTTCTAATATACTTTTTTATTTTATTTCAGTGTACTAAAAACACTATCAGATTATGACTGAAATGTATTGAACTTCATGAATTCTACACAGAAGTCATCTATAAAGTATATTAATGACCATTTTAAATGATGTATATGGAATGTGTTGCATACAATTTTACATACTGTTATGGCTGTTGAGAGACCCAATTGTTCTAGATGCCTTGAATGGAAATCCTCACTGAAAGCTTAGAAAATTCAAATGTTAATAAGAGTAAGCATTTACATAGAAGTGGATCTTCCAGCCCCTTAACGTAAGCTCAAAGATCCACAGATCTAGAATGCCATAAACCAGTCCAACATTCTGCAGAACTTTTGTTTATGTCTGTCAGTCAATAGACAGGTTCTACCACCTAATCTTCCTCAGATCTGCTCAAAATACCAGGGAACAACAACACTTCATTATTAAGTAGCGCTCATATGTTTTGACTGTTGTGTTGATCTTTTGCACATGAAACAGGGTTTAAAAGCAAAACAAAGCAATGATTTAAAAGAATCTTGTGGTGAATTGATGCTCTATTATCATGAGAGAACAATAGTTTATTTCACAGGACACACGGGAATCAAAACATCTGCTTTAACCCTGGGCAAAATACCTTCAGAGAATAAAAATAATCACTATATAAATAAGGAAACCAGTTGCCTACGCTTCAACACAGTGCTTGCAGTTATGTCAACCTTTTCCATAGATATGTTCTAAATAAAAAAGTCACACTGCAGGTGTGGAATTATTAATGCATTAGCAATGCCTTGCACAACAACCCAAGCTGAAAAAATAAGAAAGCAGCAGACATGATCCAATATTCCGAACAACAAATAGGATATCCTAATAGACCAGAGCAGACAATGGACTCTCTCATGCACAGGACCCTTGGGAACTCATCACAGGATACACACGCGCTCACATCCGTCTTGATGAGCAATTCCCACTGACAGAGATACACTCTATCCATTTCCAATGAAAAGCATTAAAGTAAAGAGATTCATAATATTCTCTAGAGACTTTTACTGCTTTCTGTTCAAGACTCTAATGACATAAGGATATACAGTAATTCAACACAGACATATACTTTTCCTGACGTATTATACAAAGTATGACATTACTGACTATATATATTGCTTTTTAAGGAGCAAAATTTATGCATTTTGCTGTATGCAAATTCAATACTAGAAGAAATCCCATTCTTTCACATGTAGTTGGTTCACATCCATGTTCTGCAACACAAGTGGAAAAGCGTGAATCCAACCATAAAAGTTTCTACAGTCGTTACAGCCACACTTTCGGGGATAGCTTTTGATAAAACACCAACAGACATGCATGTGTTTGGTTGGTGAAATGAAACTGCTAGAAACTAGAGGTGCACCGAAATGGAATTTTCTGACCGAAACTAGAAAAATTGTTAGGCCGAAATCAAAAATTATTCTTTTTTCTAACCTTTTTAAAAATGTTTTTACATATTTTATTTTTCACCGCAATTTTCGGCCGAAAGATGGTACTTTTGGCATTTTGCCCAAAGTACCATTTTCGGCTAATATGTTTCGGTGGCCGACATTTCAGCACATCCCTACTAGAAATCCATGGGAAGAACATGCACCTTGGCCAGACTCAGAACCCCTGTGGTTCATAATTGATATATGGTGCTTTTAACTTTTATAAATGTCAAGTATCTTAGGGGTCTATTCACGAAGCTGCCGAAGGATCTAGCCGTAGCTGCGGCCGATCCTTCGGCTAGCTTTGACACCAGGACCCCTTTGGTTCAGTAGAACTGAAGGGGTGCTGTACTAGTGAGTAGCCTGCCCGATGTTCGGCTCAGCCGATCCAGATGTTGGATCGGCAGACTCGAACTCCTTCTGCACTTCCGGTCGGCCGAACATGCTGAGCAGGTTCGGCCGACCCGAAGCCATGTGAAGCAAGCCGATGTACGGCTGAAATCAGCCGTACCAGCCTGAAGTGAATAGCCGAACAGTGTTCGGCTCACTTCAGGTCGGTCATTCACTCGGCTACCTACGGCAGCTTAATGAATAGACCCCTTAGAGTTAAAGATTTACATTGTACTAACTTCAAGTGGTATTGCACAAAAACCTCAGCATGTGCAGAGGTACATAAGATACACCTCAATCAAAAACTCTACATTTTCTTGTATCAAGAAGGAATTCGGTGAACTGGATCTGAGCAACTGTACAGTTTGACTATATTCCAGAGCTGTAGCTAGCTCCTTTTGCACTCGAGGCAAGACCCAAAAAAGTGCCCCCCCCCCAAACAGGCATGTGATGTCACTCAGCGCTGCGCACGCGCCGCGTCATGTAATGTCATGCGCCCCGCCTCCAGGATGTGTTTTTTTTTATTATAATTTTTTTTTAATAATAATTTTGACTTGTCATAAGAGTAACATGGGCAGTACCATTGCTGACTTCATTCTGAACATGCTCTACACTTGGCTGATATGCCAACTCACTGAATTCAGTACTTTCTGAGTTATAGGGCCACCACAAGTATGCAGATCAGGAAAGAAATAGAATAGTCAAAAGGTTCTTATCTGTATAATTTCTTCAGGCCGGTTGTTTAAAAGTAATAAAACAAGAGGGTCAAGCTTGACAACAAGGCAACTAGTTTTATGACAGGAGAGCTCAGCAATGGCAGACTTCATGTTTTACTCATGACAGGTTCCCTTTAAAATCATTTAATTGTAAGTAAAAAGATTGTACCCAGTGATAATATAACACAAGGAATGTAGTGTGTAGCTTGTTCACAATAACTAGCTAAATGATACGTTTACAAGAATTGACTTGAATCATGTTATAATTATTATGTTGCTAAGGCATTTGACTGTAAATTGGATACGTCACACGCTGGTTACGCTTTAGATTAGGGTTGGAAGGGAAACATCTGTGTGTCAAACACAAATGGTCGGGGCTGAAAGATATATGCACAAATCATGTGTAACTCACAATTCCTATTTATACAATTGCAGCACAGATTTCAGCTGGGTGGCAGGGAAAATATGTCGCTGTAATGCCTTTATAACAATGGGTGGAAATGTCTCGCTTGGCAGATAAATAGCAATGAACTTTCAAATGAAAACAGCCCACACGCCTTTGTTTACTATAAAAAGCGTTCCGATCCAGGAAAAGGCACGTGAATGATAAAAATGGCGGACGTGGCACTGGACTGAGTGATAAGAGCTTCCTAAAGTGCACAGAAGTGCTGGTCACCAACTGTTTTCAGACTAGAGCAGAACAAAACAAACCCGGCTTTGCTCCACTAGCATTTTCTGTTTTAAGACCCAGTCACTGTTAGTTTTATTTTACTGGCTCCTGAGGCTGAACCATTGATCACAATAGCAGCTTTATGTCTGAAATAGTCATCAGATTCTGAGATAAATCACAGCTATCTCCTCATGAAAATAATATATATTTATGACCAATCAAATGTAAATTGTATAATTTCACTCGCCTACTGAAATCCAGTGGTTTGCTATGTGTAACACAGATATTGAAAATTCCTACAGTTATTTTTGTTAGTAAACGGCCATTCCGAATACATTTCATGCATAAACAGGGAACCCAAAACAACCAAAAACAAAGCAGCTTTCATGTTTGCATTAGTGAAAAATGAAAACATCTATTTGGATGTTATGAGCAACATGGATGGTCTTTAAAGAGAACCAGCCACCAATGGATATCTGTTATGATCCAAATCAGGGGTAGGCAAACTTCAGCTGACACTACAATCCCAGCATGCATCTGCCTGCAGGAGTCAGGCCTGTGGCCGTCAAAGTCTTTTAATGTCTTTCAGCTTTTATAGTTTCAACACAGACAGAGGGCCAAAGTTTGCCTATCTCTGATCTAAATATTCACTCTTAAAGAGAATAACTCTCTAATTTCTCTTAAAATGGTCACTTTCTAGAGTTTAAGTAGCTTACTTGCCAAATGTGGTGACAGGGTCTCTTTAAACAGTTATAATATTGCAGCCTTACTCGTCAATGATTACTTTTTTTATTTACTTTCTCCCTGACAGAGCATGAGTGTCGGGTGGTAAGGCTGTCCTAACTCTTGCTAGAGCCTAGTGCTGACAACAGTCACTGAAAAAACTGTCAAGTAACAAATAGTGCTAGGATTACATTTGAGAAAACTAAAGACTTTAAATGACAGTTTTACCTCCTATAGCAGACAAGATATTTATCTGTCCTGAGCTCAGGCAGTGAGAGGTCAGCACCATTAGTGTACACATTTCCTCATAGCACCTCTCTGGTGATCATGAGCACTGTCATGCACACTAAGAATGACAGTAATTTCAGAAAGAACCAGTTCTGGCAGCACAAAAATAGGTCTATAAGTCAGTCAAATTACACTCTATGAGCTCCTGCTTTTTGCTGCAACTCAATCCACAAACAATTCTTTGACTTTTTTAATATTGTGCTTTAAGGACCTCCTGTATCACTCAGAAACTGGCAGATGAAGACCAAACACAAATCAGACCAGTACAACAAGCATGGGCTGAGGTATTTAAATCCCTGCAGGGAGCCGTGAGTGACAGTCACGGCTCTCTGCAGTGATAGATCGAGAAGTGAGCAAGCGAAGGTATGTGTTCGCTCACTTCCCGATCTACTGAGCCGACCTGTGACAGTTTCATTGTCACAGGTCGGCTCAGATTAGGAGGCTGAGTGAAAATCACTCGCCTCATAATTCTCCTTTAAGCAATGTCAGATCGTGTATTACAATCCTTAAAGGTCCACTTTAAAACTTAGAACAGGAGGGGGGGCGTGGCCGACTGGCGTACGAGATGGCGGCTTAAACCCGAAGCTCCGTGCACCTACAGGCCTTTTAGAACAGGCAGCATACAATAAATAAAATCTAGGCATCAAAAAGTTCTCAACACACATGAAAAAATGAATTCAACATCCTTAAAGAGGCTTGAATTGCAAATCTTTTGAATACAGCTTTAAATGTAGTGACATTTGGGTTAAAACAGTAATATAGCTCTCTAGAAGACCCGATGGTAAACCACCCAGATCCTGGACAGTGCTCCTAGCAACTTCTAAGAAAATCATTTGCGTCTTACCTGATGATAACAGGCTACCACTGCTTCCACTGATGATTTTCCCTTTGCTTCCCATATTGGCAAGTTTCGAAGTCTTTAAAGTTCCCGTCTCGGTTAAGTCTATGGCGATCTCACTCAAGCTCCTGGCAGCATGTATTTTAGACTGTTGGTTGGGAAAATAGAGACTACTGATTAACAATAGTGTTTAAACATATAATAAGACAAAATATTTAGCATAATCTGCATGGAGTTTTCTCTTATCCAAGTTAGCATGAGTTTCCCCCCACTATCTACAAACTGGCTGATAGAATAATTGGCTTTGAACCAGAGTGTATGTCTAATAATCAATATTTTTTATTTCATGTGGAAGTGTCTTGAGGATAACTTGGAATACAGGCACAGTGAGAATTTTTGGACCTGGATCCCACCTGCCCACCTCTTCACTGCCCCCCAACTAATCCCACCATTTCCGGGATGCTGTAAAAACAAATGATCTTATTAACAGGCATGATTATTTGCCATCACTTCTCTAGCACAAGGACCAGTTCCTCTTCTTCTAACCTTATCACTTTGCCTAACATTTAAAAAAAAGCCCTTAACCACTGTCCAGCTTGTAACCTTGACTATTATCCAAACAGTACTAATATTCTTCACTCTTCTAGGCAGAAGACTAAGGCCCTGTTCACACCATACGTTTTGTCGCTCGTTCAACGCTCTATGAGCGCTCTACAAAACGTACAAACATGAAAATCCCATTGTTTTCTATGGGTATGGTTCACACCTTTCCGTATTTCTGCCCGTCTGAACGCGCTACAAAACGGCCTACGCCCAAAGAAGTACATGTACTTCTTTGGGGCGTTTTGGTCGCGCGTTTCCATTGGGATACAGCCAAGTAGCCCTCGGAAACGCGCGTTTGTCGCGCATTTTGTTTACCGCGAATCGCAGTCAAAATGTGCGACACGAAACGCGCGACAAACGCGCATATTCAATACGCCAAGGTGTGAACCCAGCCTTATAGATGTGGGCCTACTTTCAGGGATATATTCCATAAGTGTTTCTGCTCATCATTATCATCCCCAAAGGAGTAGCATGTGATGGCAGCACAGGCCCAGAAGTGTGTTGCTCAGCATTTAAAGGCTTGCAATTATAGGGCCTTTGGTGACCTCATAAAAGTAGATCTATCATGAAAAGTTTTACATGGATAGATAGGGCACAATGTCAACATTGCCAAATTCCATTTATTTTATTTGAGAAAAAAGTACTCCCTGTCTGCCAGGTAAAAAGCCTGCTGCTCTGACGTTTAGCATGTTACTTACACTACATCTTAGAAATAGATGACATAGCTTGTACTTTATATTACACAGTCCTTTTCATCAAATAGAAGGATCAACAGCAAACCAGAGCTGGCTTATGAAATGGACAAATATGGCTGCCTCCATGTACATATCAATGACAAACTATGCAAGGGAACAAGGTTTGCATATCCAAAAACGTTTCAGAGGACTATAGGTCCTCTCTAAAGCATGGTTATATAAGTGTGGTAGGTGTTTAAGACTATTAGGGGGCAGGGACTGATATAAATTGACATATGTTTTTTTTTTTTTTAAATGGTGTGTAATGGGAGAGGTATAGACATAAGAAAAATAAATATATATAGAGAGAACATGCTTACATTTATGGTATTTGTTTCAGCAGTTGTGAGGAAAGCTTTGCTGTTTATAATATGAATATGAAAAATGGATCTTATCTATTATGTCTCTAGGTAAAATCAAGGTAGTCAGTTATGGAAAAATGTAGGGAGGAACAGTGGTATGTAAAAACATTTACCATACTGAAGAAAATGAAGAAATGTACAGTATGGGTTCATGAACCGACATGCTAAATGAAACATGAGGAAGTACAGTAACCATGAGAATGTAGCCCTGCCACACAATGTCATGAGTTGTACACCCATATGCTATCAGTTTGATTGATAGCACGAAGATGGATCTGTCACATATTTCGAGTGACTCTTTTCTTCCCATACACCTCTTTCAAACTAATGCCTGTAAGCAGAATTTGAAACTTTGATGACGTTTCTGGTCAAAGGCCTGCCTTCAAAGTACAGGCCAACTATGAAAGATATCAATCAATGAGATACTGCATACATTTTGGAATCCAAAGCAGACCTTGCTGCGAATATGCACTTTATTGTATACAGAAACTAAACACATGCTATGTAAGGTCAGTTACTTGTGGCTTTGTTGTACAAAAGTGAAAGAAGTATGTGGAAAAGCTCAGTGTTTAACTTACAATGTTTTACTCCAATGAAAAAGTAGTGCTTGGCTTCTTTCTACATAAAGATTTATTTTATGCTTTGCACCATAAAAAAAAACCATGTTTTCAAGCTTACTAGCTTATGTAAACAGCTAAAGCACCAATTTATTTACAGGAAAATAGTAAGTATTTCAGCTCAATCTATGAGCTATGGGGTTCGAACATGATTTTCAGACCTGCACTGTACTCAAAAACATTTTTAAACAGAATATTTAAGGTTTGAAGTGATTCATTTCTTGAGGTTACCATTCCTGTAATAGCAAGGTGAGGCCAGTTTTTTGACATTCTCTGAAGTTAACATGTCACTGATTTACGTGGCAGCTTGACATAACCGAGATTTTTGGTTTGACTGTCATTGTTTAGATATAGTGTTCATATTGGTTATATGTACTGATGGCATTGTTTAAATACTAATATATTGTTTATTATCTCTGTTGCATTACAATCAGGCATCCAATTTGTTAACAGCTAAGCTATTGTGAATAATCCTGTTTATTGACACTCTGCTTCGGGTTGATACTGAAAAAGAGACACATGCATACAGACATGTTAAAGCAGGCAAGCTTAAATATGGAAAAATAAGGAAGAAATGTCAATAAATACAGTTCTCCTTGGTGCAGGACATAGTAGGAAACAGCCAAAGTGGACATTAATGCAATAGACTGATATTGACTGACTGCAAATGGGAACTTATATCTCTCAGTTGTCATATGCTTGACCTTTTTATTATTGTCTAATGATATAGTGGCTCCTAAGCAGCATCTACAGGAAACATAATTAGCCGGAATATAAACCATTTAATTAATGCCTTACCTTGCTTTGTTTCCTATCCAGATAGAACTGGTGTTGGCTAATGGCCATAGCCCAAATGGACTTTATGAGAGCGGGACACGCGTACCACGTGTGCACAGCAATCGCTCCATGACCAAATGTCCTCCTGGTAACAGATGCCCTGTATGCAGAGAAATGAGCTGTGATTTCCTCTGGACACATAACAATGACATGAGGGCAGGAAGTATAAATCAGTTTACAACTGTGCTGAGCAGAAATGGCTTACATCCTGCCATGGCCGCAGCAGGCAGATAATCTAATTGGTCACTGGTTAACCTATATTTGTTAATATGAAACTGGGAGCAGCAAACTCAGCGGATCTCCATCACACTGTACTGATCAGAGAGAAAAAAAGGGATATATACCAAATATTCCTCTAGTTTTGCAGCGGGGATTAACAGTGCAGTGTGCAAAAACACTGATTATGTATAAAGATGACACACAACCCGTAACAACCAATTTACTACAGTCAGTCTAGTGAAATATGTTTTCTAAAGCTTACTGAACATTATACGTTACCCCCCACTCTGTTAAATAGCCCCTGCTGCACTAAACACCAGCAAATGGCTGTGTGCCTTTTATTGTTTACACAGTCATATCATACTTCACATGGTTTGCTCATTGTGATAACACTGGGTGTCAGAACACATGATCTGTGTTGTGTCTATCAGCTGGTCTAAAATGTTTCAGTTCTGTCTTATGCCTGGCAGCCTCAATCTGTAACTATAAACCATAAAATGATGTCAGCCTTCGGGATATCACGCTGAGATTTGTAGTTCCACAACAGCTGGAAGGCCACAGGTTGTCCACACCTGATCTAGATTGTAAACTCTCACAATCAGGGTCCTCCTAACCATCTTGTCTTGAATTATATTGTAACTGTACTGTCTCCCTTTTATAATGTAAAACACTGTGCAAACTGTTGGCACTTTATAAATCCTGAATAATAATAATAATAAAATAGTAACCTTCGAAAATTGTGTTATTCACAGACCTTGCTACAAGAATGCTGTGTGATACAACACGTGTACGCTACACATATATACGGAACACATTTCCCTATACTGTATACACATTCCTGTCATGTGCAGTTATTAGTCAATTATTATAAGTGTTCTAGTCAAATGAGAAAACTCATTAGCCGTATAACTGACATACCATGGAGATCATCATACCATTAGGAATCCTATTTTTAAATATGGAACCTGTTATTTTAGATGGTATAGAGATGTGACAAAAGTTTTCCTTTTCAGCTGAGAAGGAATGAGATTCATGAAAGCATAGGAGTGAAATAAATCCAGGTGCAGGGCTTGTTTGGAAAGAAAATAAAGGCGTTCTGAAACTGAATACTATGCAGCCCTCTAGTTTTTGAATGTGTGGGACTCGGCGTGATTTGGGATTACTAGAACTACTGGCAGAAGTCAGCTGAACAGGTTTCTGCAACTTGTAGGCACTGTCAGATCAAGGCTTCTTAGTATCCTTTGTACAGTGATGACAAGGAGAGCCCCTGTTTAGCCCCACCTAATGGAACAATAAAACACCTTTACAGCTCCTTGTTTACCCGATTCACACTCAAACAATGCTTTAGCCACTTACATTAAACTGTAAAAGTGCTAAAGCATGCATAGCTTGTGTGCTGAGCCTTACTGGGAAAGAAGTAACCTATACATGTCCATAAAATCGAGTCTGAATAGAGGTACGTCTTGTTTCAGTTCTGTCTTATGCCTGGCAGCCTCAATCTGTAACTATAAACCATAAAATGATGTCAGCCTTCGGGATATCACGCTGAGATTTGTAGTTCCACAACAGCTGGAAGGCCACAGGTTGTCCACACCTGATCTAGATTGTAAACTCTCACAATCAGGGTCCTCCTAACCATCTTGTCTTGAATTATATTGTAACTGTACTGTCTCCCTTTTATAATGTAAAACACTGTGCAAACTGTTGGCACTTTATAAATCCTGAATAATAATAATAATAAAATAGTAACCTTCGAAAATTGTGTTATTCACAGACCTTGCTACAAGAATGCTGTGTGATACAACACGTGTACGCTACACATATATACGGAACACATTTCCCTATACTGTATACACATTCCTGTCATGTGCAGTTATTAGTCAATTATTATAAGTGTTCTAGTCAAATGAGAAAACTCATTAGCCGTATAACTGACATACCATGGAGATCATCATACCATTAGGAATCCTATTTTTAAATATGGAACCTGTTATTTTAGATGGTATAGAGATGTGACAAAAGTTTTCCTTTTCAGCTGAGAAGGAATGAGATTCATGAAAGCATAGGAGTGAAATAAATCCAGGTGCAGGGCTTGTTTGGAAAGAAAATAAAGGCGTTCTGAAACTGAATACTATGCAGCCCTCTAGTTTTTGAATGTGTGGGACTCGGCGTGATTTGGGATTACTAGAACTACTGGCAGAAGTCAGCTGAACAGGTTTCTGCAACTTGTAGGCACTGTCAGATCAAGGCTTCTTAGTATCCTTTGTACAGTGATGACAAGGAGAGCCCCTGTTTAGCCCCACCTAATGGAACAATAAAACACCTTTACAGCTCCTTGTTTACCCGATTCACACTCAAACAATGCTTTAGCCACTTACATTAAACTGTAAAAGTGCTAAAGCATGCATAGCTTGTGTGCTGAGCCTTACTGGGAAAGAAGTAACCTATACATGTCCATAAAATCGAGTCTGAATAGAGGTACGTCTACAATGCACATACCCAGATTCAACACTTTTATGAATACATAATCTAAAACACAGCTTTTGCCAATGGTCTCTGAGATTTACGAATCTGTAATAAGCAAGCATTGCACAAGCATAGAACTGATTAAGGCGGCATTTGTGTGCAGAAACACGCAGGTCACCACTAGGGTACATAGAAGACAATTGTTTTCCATGGGCACCGTTCACACCCCGATTAGGGTGTGATGTGTGGTGTGCTGCGGGAAAATGCAAACATGTGCACTGGATGGCACCGCAGGTCACTGTACACTTTGTATTATTATTATTATTATTATACAGGATTTATATAGCACCAACAGTTTACACAACGCTTTACAATAAGACATTACAATTACAATACAATTCAAGACAAGATGCTAAGGAGGGCTCTGCCCATGAGGGCTTACAATCACTCTAAAGTTTAAAAAACAAGGAAACAGTGTGACATGCTGAAACAAGGCTAGGTGTGAACCTAGCCTTATGAAAAGTGGAAATCACTAATCGGATTTAATCTTTAATTCTCTAACCTGTACTACAAAATGATACAAGACATCTGATATGGAAACTGCTTCACCTTCTTTGTTCCAGTTTTTATAATTTAACATTTCATGTTATTATTATTATTATTATAATACAGGATTTATATAGCAGCAACAGTTGCACAGTGCTTTACAAAGTATACAGGAAGACAGTACGGTTACTATAAAAGAGGGTTGGGAGGGTAATGTCCAAAGATTACATACAGACACAGCACAGTATACAAGATCATATACTAGAATATCCAGAATGCAAGTCAGTGATGTGCAGCAACATAGGTAATGATGAGATTATCCTGATCAGAACAATGATTCCCGGTTGCTATTGGTTACTGCATTATTATGCTCACTCTATGTCTATAATGCTTCACACATTACAATAAACCAGAGTGACTCTTGTGCTATAAAATCTGTGTTTGTTTGTCAATGCAAAGTCTGTGTTTAGTTATCAACAGTTTAATATAATAGGGAGGTGTTGGGATGAGCTTTGCAGAATATGAATTAACTTTTACTGAAGGTGTGTGCGAGGACAGAGGTTATACTGCTTGGCTGATCGAGTCCAAAGGATAAGAATGCTTCCACAACTACTGCTCAGTCACGCCACTTTGTTTGCCATACTAAACTATGTCAATGGAAATGCCTTCCTGCTACAAACATATTAGAATCTGCCACCCAGATTTATTATAAAATGCATAAATGAGAAGAACTTAGAAATAGGTGTCACTCATCAGGCTGCATTCACTAAAATAAACCTTCAGCCCTTCAAAAAGAAAAGATAGTACAGGAGACATGGCACTTACCTGCGAGGATCATGAACTTCCACTGAGAACTTCTTTTCTCTGAAGTAAAGATTTTCCAGCTGTCTCCACTGAAAGATCTAGACAAGAGCACAACAGGGATCAGCTTCCATCTCCACAATCAATGTTCTAACAACTATCCCAACAGATCCTTCAATATTCCTCAGAGTAGCTGCAGTAGCTCAGTGAAAAAGAAACTATATGCCAGTGTTATCCGGCTGCCTCTTGCTTTATTTGCAGATCATGAATTCCTTTTTTCTCCTCTGTATGCCTCCAGCAATTAAGAGAAAGAACAAACTCTCAGCAGCAAGAAGTAGCCATCTGTAAATGCGGCTTCCTCCTTTCACTGTGTTGGAATGGTAAGGAATTCATATTCCCCTGCCTCCTATTGGAACAGCCACTTCCTGCCCACTAATGTGTAATAGTCTCTGACAAGCACTATTGCTTGAAACAGCTTCTACAAAACCAGGAGAGGGCGGGGGATGAGGGCTGACCTTAATTCAAGGCAAGGCAACATGAGATAACAATGTGAGCTTGTGAAAGCCCCTCTCCAAATATTCCGAAACTTTTTACCTTTTCCCAAGGCATCACTCGGCTGCTAGAAAGCAGGCAGATACATTTTAGTTCACAGAAAGGTGTAAAGGAGGTAGATTAACATGATCCTGTTACTGCTTTAATATGGCATTTTTGAAGTGTGCACAATCCTGATCTGCATCTCATGAAAGGCAAATTGATATTACCTATGATAGCCCTGCATGGTCCCTTTTCTAGAGGGACAGTACCTCTTTGCCATCTAAAGCTAGCCATACACGGGTAGATTTGTTTTACAAACTTTCATACAGAAAATCTTCAGAACATTCCATAAAGCCATGAGAGACTTGACAAATGGCAGTCACAATTTTGGGTGATTTTAACATTCGATTTTGGAATAAATAGAGTTTCCCAAATGAAAACCACATTCAGAACGAAATTCTAACCATGTATGCCCAGCTTAAACCTCTCTGCCCCCTTCTTCCTCTACAAATTCCTTTTACTTTTAAAAAAGATTACCCTCTGTTCCATCTTAAAGTGGAATTAAACATATGAATGTTTTGGCTTTGCCCTAATGTGCAAGTATACAACTTACCTTACAATTGTGCCTTTCTCCAGCGCTGTTGGATCGATCTTCGGTACTCAGCTCTGTCGCCCGCCGCTGCCATCTCCACTGCTGATGCTTCTGGGTTCTAAAAGGTCCTCTTTGGCCATTGGGTGGCCACTGATAATGTTACTCCTGTCCATACGCACAGGAGTTACATCCTCCCCGAAACCCGGCCCATTCATGGCATCTTAGAGATGGCGTAAATGGGCTGTTAGTATACTGCACAGCGCATGCACCGTACAATGTACATAGAATATAAAACAATCACTAGGGAAGACAGGAAGATTTTTTTACTTGAGGAATACGAATTTTCGCATGTTATATCTTATTTTAGTGCTTCACATGTCAAATAAACTATTACTGTATGTTACAACACATATATGTAGAATGTATAACCATCTTGCATCATCATCCTTTAGGTGCACTAATGCACACCTCTATTGAGCCAAACATTGAAAACTCATCTTTTGAATCATTATTTATATGGTATAGACTGTGAGACTTTTTGTGCAGAAAGTTGCACTTGGAATTTTTTACACTTGTGCACTAGATGCATCTTTCTTTTTAAACTCTTCAAATTGAACTATTATTTGGCACATCCCAAAAAAAAGCAGATTTCTGTGTGCCAAATACTTGGCGCAGCGACAGTAGTTTACATGGCCTGTTAGATTTAGCAGGGGATATAACCATGTACAACTGAGTTTTTTTGTAACTAAATAAACATTGAATTTGTTTTGTTTTTTGAAAGTGTAACAATTCAACAAATACAAACAGTACAAGTCACAACAATCAGTTACAATTGTATTGGTTTGTTTCTTTACAAGGTGCTACTAGATAACCTAAACTACGGGATGTATAATGGTACATGTTAGTTCATCATGGAACAATGTTTTGCAAATGCTGAATAGTTATGCAGTGCAATATTTTTCAGACACAATGAAAGATTCTTCCCCCATAGTTTTTGTTTCCCAACTTTTCCCTGCGTGATGAAAGTCTTTAGCAGGCTTTATTCAGATTCAGCCATTTGTCTGGGTATATTTATTAAACACCAGGCTACGTGAACATTCTCTAGATCCAGGGTACGCAACCTCAGCACTCCAGCTGTTGTGTCCTATGAGGCATTGCATGACTCTGACAGCCACAGGCATAACCCCCAGAGTCAGAGGCATTATGGGATTTGTTGTTTCATCATAACTGGATTGCCAAGGTTGCCTACCCCTTCTCTAGATCTTTCAATGTATGCAAAGCTGATTACACTAGAGACTCCTCCTTATCTCTTTTAGTGCAGTTAGTGTTGGGACCACAAGATGATTACACATGATGCAGTCTGCTTTGAAAAGTAAGAAGACCAATGCATAGATAATATTGGCATAGTCATGTGTGGTCACGTGTTCTAAAAAAACCTGGCCTGCATATCCTAAATAATATGTTAGTAAGTTTGACACATGCATATACCGTCTAGAAAGAAAGATAAATATACATGTCAGTACAGAGTTAGCATACACTTATTTAATAGCACATATACTGTATTAGTCTTTGCTTGTCTAATTAGCTTCCTAAAGCACATTATTATAATAGTTTGCACAGTAATTGTGAATCCTCACAACAAATGAGAACATGGAGACATCTTATTTAAAGAAAGCATATACTGTGGGTACTTAAAAAAATTCTAGTTGCTTGGCTTCCAAACATTCTGAGGCACTGACCTAGAAATCAAGAATTCTGACTATACTTGTGTTATGCTTATTCCGAGTCAGTGAGTCACAGAACAGGAGCCAGAAATATCCAAGAAATACAACATTTTACAAATGTTATCAGAGCATAAGGTGAGTGGAAATCTTCAAATGAAAGCACTTTTTTCTGGTTGCCCTCACTTTGTTGTGATTTCCTTTAACTTCCTGTTGCATCTCCTGAACAGAGAAATCACCACAACAGGACCAGAAATTATGGATGCCCCAATACCGTTTTTTTGGTATCAAGTACGAGTACCAATATTTTTTTTCTGTGCTTGAATACCAATAGTGGCACCCGTGGGACTGGATTATCAGGATTACCTAGGAAGCTGGTGTTCTATCAAAAGAACACCGGCTTCAGTTCAATCGCGACACGTTGAAGAAGCTAGGTGACGGGTGATTGGTCAAGAAGCCAGGCTGCCTAGCAACAAGTGAAGCCGGCTTCCTAGCCAATCAGGAAGCAGAGAGGTGGTTCATAACCCGTCGCCTGGCTTGCTGATTGGTCGGGAAGCCGGCTCCATGGTCCCTCGCGGCACTGCCACTCAGAGGGTGGTCTCCCTCTGACTGGAGGTTCCGGTATCTGGGGAAAGTATCGGAGCATTTGGACAAGTATGAGTACTCACCAAAATACTCTGTATCAGCACCGATACTGACACTAGTATCGGTATCGGTGCATCCCTACTAAAAATATAAGTTTTGGCTACACATACACTTTATTCCCACTAGGTATATGACCTAGAGAAAGTTTAAAGTGACACTAAACTCATTCAAGTGCCTTAAGTATTAACAAAAATGTATCTTATTTGTGTATAACTCGGCTGTAGATCCTCAAATCATCTCTGAATTGGTGCTGACACTGTGCTTCCTTCTGGAGGGTGGCTACTTTTGTTCCCCATGGTCCCTGTGTGTGTTGTAAAGTAGCCACTGCTCCAAGCTCACTCCAGTGATGGATTACAATCCCATTACAAATTAGTAAACTAAACGTGAGATTGTGGTCCATCACAGGAGTGAGCTTGGGGCGGTGGCTACTTTACAACACACACAGGGACCATGAGGAACAAAAGGAGCCACCCTCCAGAAGGAAGGACAGTGTCAGCACCAAATCAGAGAAGATTTGAGGATCTACAGCTGAATGATGTACAAATAAGTTACATTTCTGTTAATTGTTAAGGTACATATGCATTTTTTAAACTTCTGAATTTAGTGTCACTTTAACTGTAAAGGTTATGGTGAGAAAGCACTTGCAAAATCAAAAAGTTGACCAATTGAACCAGTGCATGGCACAGTAGGGCCTTCTTAGAACACAAGGTATTTACATGTCTCATTCCATCAAATATCGTGTTTGTGGCATATTTACATGTATTTTTTTAAACATTCCTCAGGTCATGTTATAGGGCATGTTTATAACACTGAACTATTCTATGTATCGCCATCTACTTTAAAATGCATTAATAATACAACACAATACAGCCAGTGAATCTTAGAGTAGCAAGATACTGCCTATGTCCCTCTGGAGATTGTGCACTAAGATTATTAGATAGACATAAACAGATGTGTTTGTGCTAACACAGAATTGTTACTGTGGTAAATATCTCTCAATCTTTTCCTGTTATTGTCTCAGCATTAGTTGTAGAAACCTGAGGCAATGGATCCACTTTTCAGAGGAAGATGGTCAGTCTTTTTCCTGTTTAGTCAACATGTTTAATGCATAAAATGGAAAAGCCTGAGATGCTTAGACCATGAGACAAAAGGTGATAACTTTACTATGTCTACAATGGCCTTTGTTGACTAAGCATGACTATCATAGGGTCATTGGTTGTACTGAAATTACATATGCTCTCTATAATGCTATGTCATTCTTGCTTATAAAGAGGGTGGCAATGCATATATAAAGGAAAGTAATGCTTACATTGTCATCATATGATAAACACTATCCATGATGCTCATGATGCTCCCTACATGTTGTACTGTGACAATGTACTACCCCACACTTCAGAGAGAATAATTGACTTATATACTAAAAGAAAACTGAACTCAACTTGACCAGGAAACAAACATTTTTTTTTGTATATTTTTTTTTTACCACTGATGGTTGTTGCAATTATCATTTGTATTCTTCAAATCCATGGCAAACAAAAACTGAGCCGTCTGTGGCCAGCCTAATACTGGCTAAATAAATGGCAAGTTTCAATCTATTTCCACCATCTAT